GCCACCCAAACCAAAAATAAATTGTATTTAGTTTACCAAGTGTCACTGGGAAACTGATGAAAAGTTTTTGGTAATATATTGTTGCGTCAGCGAGTCACATGACCACTGTGACGCCACGTTTCTAGAACTATCCTGTACTTTGGCGAATGCTCTAGTATTTACTAGATATAGGATAGTTGGGTATGTATATGAGGGGGAATGTAATGTGTGTATAGACAGTGAGTAATTGAACTGCAGTCAGAGAGCACGAGAGACGTTACAGCGTTTGTTTAGCGCGATTGTTGAAGTTGAGTGTATCCAGTAAAGTTATATTCGGAAAGAATAAACCAGTTTTATTAAGAAAGAACTTGTGTCGCTTAAGTTTCGTCGGAACGAAGTTACGGTAAATTAATTAACAAACGGAGACGTAACAATATATTAAAATAAAAACTGTTTATTTACTGCCCTTTAAAATTAAATATATTCTACCATCATTTGATATGGTGTGAGCACCTTTTAGAAGGTTGTTAAGCATGATATAATTAGTTATAGTTATTATACGGCATTATGTTAGGCCTATTATAGTTTTTAACACTACCTGTTAATCTAGTCCCTCACGTATTTTCAAGTTCAAGAATTGAAAGTGTATATATAATATAATGACGAATAATAGTGTGGTTGAAGTACCGTTATTACATTGTACCATCATTTAAAGGCCCTTTGGTTTTAATAAATGTGTTTTACAAGATTGAATGTTCGTGTATTAAAATCTATACTGGCCAGACTAGTACAAAGTTAACATGCAAACTCCTTCTCAAAAGCATCAGAAATGATAAGACTTTATCTGGCATTCATTCTTTTTTTTCTTTTCTGAAAAGCTAAAGGAATATATATACCTTTTTTTTAGGAACCTAGAGATGTATGCTGCTATATAATTGGATAAGATCCAAACAAGTTATTAGTTTTTGTCAGTAGATTTGGATGACTTTTTTACCTTAATTCAGACAATGGTACTGACGTTACTGTAGTACACTATCTATGAAATACTCACCATTCCCAATATTCTTGTGAAACCACTGAAGAGCTGCTGGGACAACAAGCCATAATTTCAGAATGTTTGTTCTTACCAAAATGAAAATAAGGTCGGATTAAAAGCTAACCAACTGTAAAGAAGCAAAATCTCTGAGGTGTTACAAGTGTGGAAATATTCATGATGGCACATCAGTCGTTCACAAATTTAGCCATAAGAGAGTTCGGAGGAGGTGCTATGAAGTGCCCAAAGATTAGTACACATGCATACAGGAGCAGTAAACTTATGGATGTATCTAACGACTTGCCCTCAAATGGGGATGAGAGCAGAAGGAGGAGAACAATTCAAGAACAGATAATTTGAAGAGTAGGAATATTAAAAGGAGAGAAGAGTACTAGAATAATGGTGAAATAGCATAAGCATATCATACAAGTGGTCCATTTGGTAGGATAGAAACACCTTAACAACTTCTGGATCAAAGAAAATGGCAAGATAAAATGAGTCTTGGACCATGCCCTACACAGCCATATATATCACTCTTAAACATCCAGATCTGGAGAGATGGAATACCCCATCATCTACCAAAGTAGTCATATTTTATGCCATTGAGCCGGAGATTGCTTGTTGAATGTCAGAATTAATGAGTAACGTTGAAAAGAAAGAGGTTTTACGAGACTGAATTAGCTGATCGTCTTGCAAATACAGATCACAATGTTGTTTGGCTGCTCCTGTACTGTAAAACTTAATTTTTGAAAATCAAAAAAATATATAAACAATCGAATGATATTCTAAATTTTGGAAATCTATATTCCCTAATAAATAGAATTCCTTAATTTCATTTGTATCTAAAGCTTAAATATTTATGTATTATCAACTGATAACGGTCTTTTTTTTCTTTCTTTACTTTGAAATAATTTATCTAATATATTCTATTATAAAAATCACTGTTTCTAGAACTGTAAGTTGATCTTTACATCTCTGGTAATGGTCAGTCCAAAACATTCCAGGTCAACTTGTTCGTGTCTTGACATAATATTTGTATTAAATTCCATCACTGACTCAAAAAATATTGTATGATAATTTTATAATTTTGCTTGAGTTGGTTATATAAATGGTAACAGTTTTGGAATATTAGAATTAAATTGTGTTGTAAAGCAAACATTAATTATAGTGAATAAAGAACAACCTGGTGTAAAACAGCTATACTATAAATATATTATTGGAAAATATCCCAGAGCAGGATTTTAAACATATTGGAGAAATTATTTGTGTGAAAGTTTGTTTGATTTATTTTAATATTTGTCTATATCAGTGAGTACTATTAAGAGGGTTGGTTTGAATTATCATAATGTTTTAAAATATTAGGATAATTAATTTTGTGAAGGTGTTTCATTATTTTATATTTTTCAGTTTAATACATCATAATTTTAGCATCAATACAATGAAAGCGGGGGCAGATTTAACGGTCAGGTAAAGCTAACTGGGCCCCTTTATATATATATGTAATGTTTTTTAGAAATAAATTACTTTATTGAATTTAATTTTATCTATTAATCTATCAGTTTATTCAGCTATCTGTTGTAATTACTTGCTTTTGCTTGATGTATAATATTGGTATGAATCCCGCTGGGCCCCCCCGTTTATTTAGCTGACTAGGTATTTCGGCTTAAATCCACCCCTGAATGAAAGATCTAATTAAAGTAACCAGACATCCCAGTTTTTGAAATGTTGTCCCAACAAGTCCTTATGAAACACCTGAATATTCTAGTTTTAATTTTTCATCTCTAATTTGTAAATTTTTTAAACTACTACTATTCAAGACATTGAGCTTCTGGCAACCTTTATTGAACAGATACAATTTTAATTTGGTGCAGGAATGATTCTGCATAGCCTTTGATGCTTCCCTCCAAAGTTGGCTATAAAGCAGGCTGCAGCAGACAACATCACTGTGTAATTTTGTACCTGCCAGAACAGACAGTTGAATGTAAATGTCCTGTGCTATTTAAAAGCCAATATTCCATTTTTTTTTTTTACACTCGTGAAGCATTTATTTAAAGAAACTCAAGGGTAAAAATAAATGACAGTTCCCCAGATTTGTTTTTATAAATTTCTGGCCATGTAGAAGTTACTTTAAAAAATACTTATCTTATCGTAAAGGTAAAATACTGTAAGTAAAATTATCCTTTTTTATTTGATGATGTTTATTAATTGTATTAATTGATTTTTCATAATTTTCATTAAAAAAAAAGAGGTCCTCGTTTTAAAATCTAAAAATGTGGTCACCCTAAATCTAATACAGTTCTAAATTACTAACTGCAACATACATTGTGCAATGGAATTAGGCTGGAAAAAAAATATTTGTTAATTTTGAAAAATCACAGATACAACATCTGTAACATACAATTACAATAAAATAATTAGCAAAATAATGAATAATACATTTTGAAAGAGAATTAGCGTATGCTGTTTGAAAATAATAGTACTATCAAACTAACCAGTGTAGTTGGGTTCATTGTTTCAAATAGCCATTGTTGTTTCTTAGCTACTTTTTAATTATTAATTATTATTCTTGTAGAGCTTTATTTATAAATCTGTTTTGTTGCCATTCAGCCAAAATTATTTGCAATGACCATGGAGATTGGTGTTACGATGGCTACACTTGCTGTCCTAACCAGCAACATAGGATTATGTGCTGCCCTCTTCAAAATGCTGTGTGCTGTGCAGATACATGGTGCTGCCCATCAGGCATGAAGTGTATCATGGAGAAAAAGTGGTGTGTGTATGATTATGAAGCTATTTTCTCTCGTCATCATATGACTCCAGCCAACCATTAACAAACCGTTTCTTGTAACAATGCTATGTTTATGAGTCCAGAAATAAATATATAGAAATATGATGAAGTCTTTTGATTCATGAAAACTAAAAATAACATGATCTTACCTAAGAGTTCCTCATAACATACAAGGTTTATAAAGTTATCGAAAACTTGGTCACACAATCCCTTCATCGTTAGTCACGAGACAATATTACACCTGAAAGCTCACTTTTACATTAATGCCATATGTTATAGGGACCATATTCTAATGCAATCCTGACTTCACTATGATAAACTAGTTGTCACACTCGTTGAAGAAGAAGGGATTACACACTCACCATACTCAAAACCCTTTGGAATGCTCTTAGAAAACACTTTGCTCCGTGTAAGGTGATTCCAGACCCCGGAAACAATTCCTTCTTTGGATGGCCATGTTCAAGTAAAACATCACGGACTGTAAGGATGTAAATCCATCTTTAACAAATACTTGCATAGCAGTGTGGTCTAGATAAACCAATCTTTGACTCACTCGGCTTATTGTCACATTTTCAGTTTGATAAAAGTAAACCAAAGGAACGATTAATATTATTTACACTATTTTTGCTTTGTCATAGCTAAAATAATATGAATTATTTGTATACTGTTTAGCACTGGTCAAGCTTTTATCTGCATAACTGGTACGTTCAATAAACAATATAATTAATGTATGGTTGAAGAATATGTATTGAAATTTAGAGCTAAAAACAATATATACAGTCTTTAGTAAACTAATTTATCTAAATGTATGAGCAACTTTCCTGTTAAACAAATGTAAAAAAAGGAAATTTCTCCTGGTTTGTCAGTAAAATGAAAAAGTTGATATATCATGACTTAGTTCAGCCACATGAAACATTGATTTTGAAGTGTAAACTTACAACTGAAGATAGAAGCTTGCTCTGAACTCAAAATTTAATAACAAGTCTGACTTAAGACAATGTGATGAGGTCAACTTAGTTTCATTGCACAGTTAAATAAATGAGTTATTCTCTAATACGTTCATGTCATCATTGTACAGAACGTGCATCTCAATAACGGACAATAAAAAGTGGCATTCTTTATAACTCTATTTTCATGAGAACGTGTTCAACCAACACTGGCATTTAAGAATTTAATATGAAATTTCACTTACAATAGTCTATTACTTTTCATTTTCTGAAATGTAATTATAAAAATAAATATTAATATTTCTCTTAGTAAATAAGTATTTATTCATGGTTTATGGTGAACACCCTCCACACCCATGGATGAGAGTCGTATCAGAGTGCTTTGTCCTGTTGCCTAGGAAAGAAAAAGAAGATCAGAACTATTTCACAGTATTTATTACTCATAAAGCATCATTCATTAATAATTATAATTCACTAATTTTCTCTTTAAAAAACTGATTCGTGTATATATATATATATATATATATCAACAAAACTTCTAAACTATTTAAAATCAGCAGTATCCCAAAATTAGGCTTAAACTATTAAACACAAAGACAATTAAGGTTAAAGAATAAAAAAAATTCATTAAAACCCTCAACTACTTGTTGGTAAAGCTTTATGCCAGAAATTTGCTATATCAACTAACAGGGCTTTAAAATAGCTAGTTCTGAAAGAAAGAAAAAAAACATATATATATATAGAGAGAAATTAAAGTCTAATGTGACAAACCCAGCTTATCACATTTCTGTGGTTTCACAATATTCTCTAGAATTAGTTTTTTTTTATGAATGCAGATTTTTTTAGATACAGAATCGTATCTGCAGGTCCATTTCAAGGTCTATTTTCAAGTATAGTTTCAGTTTATCTTCATAATATCATTTTAATAAACTTTTTTTACATATGAAGATCAGATTCTAAAAACCAAATATGAACTTCTCACTATCTTGAGCTTATGGTGTCAGCACTGTCAACCAGCAGTTTTTGTACAATAACCAGAATGAATTAAATCTTTACATAAAGGAAACCACAGCTACACATAAACTCAAAACTGTGCTCAGTGAAAATTCCAATGCTTGGAATCTACAAGGCAGACTTATTCGTGTTCACAAAAATTTGAGATTTTGGTTGTTGAAAGTGAATTCTTTCTCCTCACTATCTTGAGCTTATGGTGTCAGCACTGTCAACCAGCAGTTTTTGTACAATAACCAGAATGAATTAAATCTTTACATAAAGGAAACCACAGCTACACATAAACTCAAAACTGTGCTCAGTGAAAATTCCAATGCTTGGAATCTACAAGGCAGACTTATTCGTGTTCACAAAAATTTGAGATTTTGGTTGTTGAAAGTGAATTCTTTCTCCTCACCCGTCTGCAACTTTTTAAGATTGATGCTTCTCTGTAACCTTCCATTTTTGTAAGCCCACTTCTTTCCTCAGGAAGACCTAGTTTCAGAGTAACTGAAGCCACGTGCTGCCAGTAACGACCTAGTGCTGGTTTGATGATTCCCTTCTCTCCTTGTACGGTGTTATTACATACCTACGAATGAAGATCATTACCATTATTTCTAATTAATAAGTGTATGAAAGATGATAAAGTTACTGGAGGAACAGATTTAGCATTCACTCAGAATCAGGGTTAACATTTCACATTTATCTCGTGGATTTTTACAAACACAAACATTTAACTGCTTTCAAATTCGATGACGAGGAACCCACTTTGAGACTAATAATGGTTGGAGACAAGTGTAAATTACTTGTACCTAATGATGACAAAACCTTGTCGAAATGTTGTACATTTGCTGTTATGTTAAACTTATATTAAAGTTTTTCTTCAGTACCCATTCATGCCGTCTCCAACCATTATTTAACTGCTTTGTTCTTCCAGTATTAGTACTACTAATATTAAAATTGCTTTACATATTTCATGTTTGACCCTATACTTAATGATGCTTTTTACATACTATAAATTTGCTTCTATAATTAATGTTGCTTTACAAACTGTTTACTTTATCCTAAGGTTACTGTACAAACTGTACATTTTGTTGTAAGGTTAATGTTACTTCACATGTTACAGGTTTGTAACATATTTAATGTTACTTCACATACTACAAGTTTATAATATGGTTAATGTTGCTTTTCAAGTCTGGTCCTATAATTAATGGTGAAAAAAGATAAAATTATAGATAATGTTCATTATAATTTCACAAAGATTAAATAGATTCCTTAAGCCTATTATTTGCTGCTTAAAGATATAAAAGTTAAATAAGAAATTGACAATGAGTAGGAATTTCATACCACAACAGTAAGAAGATGTTCAGAGGCCAAGAACATGAGCTGCTGAGACAGTCGTACCATCAGCCCCAGTCCGTCCATCTGCTTTCCTCCGATATGTGGAGCCAAAACAGGAGTGACTGCATCAAGGATGATCAGTTGAAGCTCAGAATGGAAATTATTTGTCTATTACATAAAAAGGTTTTGGATTACTGAGGAAAATACAATTCAAGTCACTCAATACAAGTTATGGTAATTGCAAAATGTCAGATCTATGCTACTTGTTTTATGTGATTCAAGTATAAACTAATCACCTTATGTGGGGATGGGGTAAAGTTACATGTACAGACTAATCACCTTATGTGGGGATGGGGTAAAGTTACATGTATAAACTAATCACCTTATGTGGGGATGGGGTAAAGTTACATGTACAGACTAATCACC